AGAGAGAGAGAGAGAGAGGGAGGGAGAGGGAGAGAGAGAGAGAGAGACGGAGAGGGAGAGAGAGAGAGAGAGAGAGATACAGATATATTTTTTTCTGATTAAAAATAAGTTGCACAGTTATTATGAGAAATGTAGAAAAGTTCAAGAAAGAAAATAAAAATCACCTAAAATTTCCCCACAAAGATATAATTATTGTTGACATTGTAATGGATTTATTTTCCAGTCTTTTAAAGATATTTAGATTTAAATATTTATATGTATTTATATACTATATAAGTACATATGCTTTTCATATATTAATTTATATTTTCAAAATTATAATCATTCTGTTTTATTTTGCCAACTCTACTTTTCATTTATAAGCATTTACTCATGTCATTAAATAATTCTTCCATAACATCACTAACTTTTAACATTTATTTGATTAGGTAGCATACGAACAGGGTAAAAAATTTATAAAGTGCTAAATTTAAAAACTACTAAAAATCTATATATACTAGATTGTATAGTAAAGTTAGTCTCTTCTCTCTAGCTGTCACTCTCCTTCTCTGGGGGCCATCACTGTTACCAGTTTCTTGTGAGGAACATTCTATTTGGAGATAAGTATCTATCTTACGAGGAGCTCTGGCAGTGCAATGGGCAAGGCATTTGGCTGCTAACCAGAAGTCGGTGATCCAAACCCACGAGCTGCCCTGTGGGAGGAAGATGAAGCAATCTACTTCTGTAAAGGTTTACAGCCTTAGAAACCCTGTAGGGCAGTTCTGTCCTATCCTATAGGGTCACTATGAGTCAGAATTGACTAGATGGCACTGGGTTTGGTTTATAATTTTTAATGGCAATCTAAGGTTGATTCCAACTCATAGCAACCCCCACTGGGTTTCCAAGGCAATAAATCTTCACGGAAGTAGATTGTTTCATCTTCCTTCTGCAGAGCGGCTGGTAGGTTTGAACCACCAATCTTCTGGTTAGCAGTCAAATGCCTTAGGCACTGCACCACCAGAGCTCTAATCTAATGTGTGGGTATACTATAATCTGCAGCTCAGTCACCACTCATCTGTTAGTGGAGGCTTTTGTGTTGCTGTGATGCTAACAGGTTTCAGTAGAGCTTCCAGTCTAAGACGGAGTAGAAAGAAAGGCCTGGTGATCTAGTTTCAAAGATCAGCCCATGAAAACCCTATGGATCACAGTGGTCCAATCCTATTGTGCATGAGGTCACCGTGTGTCAAGAGCAGACTTGACAGCAGCTAACGACAACAATAATTTATTTAACAAATCGCTTATTGGGGATATTAATATCTCTGCAAAGAAGATCCCTGTACATAGATTTTGGTGCGCATCTCTGATTATTTCTAGAACATAATTTCCAAGAGGAAGCATTGCTAGGTCACAGGGCCCTAACAATTTGAATTTTTTGGCTGCTTTGTGCCAAATCACTCACCAGAAATGCTACCCACCAGCAGGGTGTGACAGCATCTTTCCTACACTAGGTATCACTAGTTTTGTTCTGATCTTTGCTAATCTGATATATTAAAAAAAAAAAAAAAAAAACCACCCCATTTAATTTGTACTTCTTTGTGTTAAGTTGCATATGTTTATTGGATATCTGATTTTTTCTTTTGAGAATTTCAGTTCAAGTCCTCTGTTTTGTTCTACTGAGGTATTCTTTTTCATAGGGTTGGTGTTATCAAACAATCCAATCACAAGAGTTTGTGCTTACTTACTAAGTGAAACTGGTATTCCATTGTTGTTTCAAATTTGGTTATTAATGAGCCTGAACATGTTCCTCTTTTGTAAATCCTTAGTTCATTCTGTTTTCTCTTTCTCCCCAGAGGAGCCATTCTATGGGGTGGCCAAAGTCAGCTTCTGTTTGGCCCTTGGCCTGGGCTGTCTTCTCACCATCTGGTTGCACCTGCCATTTTTGCTTGGTCGTCAGAAATTGCCTTCCTTTGGCTGGATTGGGACCACAATGAGCATCTGTGAAGGTACCCTTAACTCTGGAAACGGTCCTCCTAACCCACTCCTTCCTGGGCGCCTCTCCCTTTTCCCTTCTTAGGGACTTTTGTGGGTGGTGGGAGAATAGAACTAGAAGTGGTTGATTAAAAATTGTGATGCATCATTTCCCAGCCACTGGAGAGGTGGAGGTGGAGGGCTGTTTCCCATAAGTCTCTGGGGCCGTGACTCTCTGTGTAATGGGAGTTGTAGTTTGTGGCTGTAGCTCAACAGATGAGGAAGTCTCTGGGATTCTTGGCTGAGAATGAGACCTCTCCCCTTCCTGTCTCCCAGTCACCTTCATTTTCGTCACCCTCATGTTGTTCCCTATTAACCTCTGGATCTTTGAGTGGGAGAAGAATTTATCAATCCCCATTGGCTGGAGCTATTTCATTGGTTGGCTGGTGTTTTTCCTGTATGTCACCTGTGGTAAGTGGCCAGGAGGATCCTGTAGGGGGAGATGGGGGACATAGGTGGGTCGGGGAAGGGAAAATGTGGAGGGAAGGGAGTGGTAATCCCCAGGGATAGGTTCTTAGGGCCTTGTTTTTCTTTTGGCTTCACCCTGCTTGTAACTTTCCCTCCTTCTCCAACTTTCCTCTCTCCCATTCTCTATCCTTTCCCAGCGGCCCTTTGCTACTTCAACCAAAAAAATTTCTGGAGACTGGTTCTGATGCATCCCTTTGGCATCATGTCCTGGAGCAACCATTTTCGCTCAGTCGGAGAGTCTCTGAGTAAGAGCAAAGAGGTTACTGACAGCCAGATGGAAGCCCCAAATCCTGAGGAAGAAGAAGACATCTCTAACCTTTTCTGAGGGCTCCTAGACGTCAAGTTCTGTCCGTTCATTTGAAGCCCCCTCCTCACCCTTCTCCCCATCCCTGAATAGGTTGCCCTCTCATCAGTGGAAGGAATCAGCAAGGGAAGGGCTTTAGTCCAGCTTTGCACTCCTCTTCCTTGTTCCTGCCTTGCCTCCAGTATGGGTGATGTGGAATAAACTGTCTGTCTCTTCTTTACCATGTCTGGGATTTATTGAGGCAAACTGGAATTAGGTAGGGGGAGGTAACAGGGGAGAAAGAATAAGTTTGTTTCTGAGTTCTCTCTGCCTACGAGTCTTTGGGCACCCTTTGGTCCCTGTTCTGGTTCCCTTGTACCACTCTGACAGGAAATAAACCACAAATGGGAATGGCCTTAACAAACAGGAGTTTATTCTTACAGTTTGGAGGCTTTAAGTCCAAGTTCAAAGTGCCAGGTTCTAGGGGCTAGGTGAAAGCCCCTCAATCTTGGGGTCCAGCTCTGCCTCCTGCTTCCGGCCCACTGGAGCTAGAGGCAACAATTCTTCACTCAGACAGCTGCTGGCTGCTGAGGCTGAGAAGCCCCAAGGTCGACAAGTAAAAAGGCACAGTACCGATGTTACCAAATCACACAGCAGGCCATTAACTTAAGTCCACTGTAAGTCCCAAGGTTGGCAGAGCAAAGCAGGCTGCTGAGCAATGACACGGCTACATGCAGGGTCCAAGCATGCCATAGGCTAGAGACCATTCCCAAAGCTGCTGTTTATATACAGGAAGCAGACCACATACCCAAAGGCAGCCACTCGGCTGCTCCCAGTAGATTCCATCATGGAGTTGATTTCCAGTCTCATCATGGGGAATATTATATCTAGATGCCCAGCCACTCAATCAGGCCTAGCCAAGTTGACAGACAAACATAATCATCACAGTTCCTAAACCTGCCATATGTCTATCACAGTAGATTTATACACAAGCAAACACCTCTAAAGCTAAGCTGCTTTCTACTTTGTGTTATCCTATCCCAATAATGGTTTGTCAGTGAATGTGAGGAGTCATAGCTGATCAGGAGAGTGATACCACTTAGGAACTTTTTGGTTTTTTCATAGTAAAAAGTAAATGGTTCAAAAGTAAAATGGACTTAGAATAAGAGACAGGTTAAAAACTGAGAACATAGTAGGTGGCATGGCTGTGCTGCCATGGAGGTCAGCCCAAGGGTGTGTCTTGGACAGCAATCCCTCCCTCTGTGTCCAGTTCAGATGACCAAGAATTCACAGAGCCCTTTGTCTGAATACTGCCACCACTCACTGCTCCTGGCTGCTAAAACTCTCTACCCAAGCCTCCTACATTCTTCAGCCTCTAACAGAATTAAACATGATAAGAAAGGAAAACATTAGGGTCACGCTCTAAGACCAAAAGATAATCTTCACATTTGTGTTATGAGCTCACTCTTGCAAAGACACACAGCAGCAGCCGACCTAGACAACACTGGCCATGTTTTTCAAGATTTGTACATCGTGCACAGAAAGGCTCGCTCCCCAGGAGGGCACACTAGTTAGTGATCTTTGTCATATAATATCCATCTAGCAGAAGTCACAGTGCCAGCCAGCTAGAGGGCCACAGTGAAAAATTGGGAGTGGATTGGATATGTTAAAAATACATGTATTATCAAGTTGAACTCTATGGCACTGCTGTCTTAGCAGTTAAATATTGGCAATTTCATATGATTCAAGCTCTG